GACTTTCCTTAGTCTTGTTACTCGAGGAACAAAGAGAGGGACATTGTGCCAACATATGCATTTATACATATACACACACATACATACATACATACATACATACATACATACATACATACGTACATGCATACGTACCTACGTACGTACATGCATACATACATACATACATACATACATACGTACGTACGTACATGCATACACACAGAATCTGCCTACAGAAGTCTCCAAATGGGCTCAAGAAAGGATTCCTTCCTCCTAACCAACCACCGCTAAGTAATGTAGGGGCCTGAGTAAAATCAATATCATGGTCCTGGATTCCTAGCTACGAGTCTGGTATAGGGTACCCCAATAGGACCTCAACATGATATTGGTAATTATTCAGGCCTCTACGCCACTTCTGCTCAGATTTTCCATTGTCAATATTCCTGCCACAGAGCTCGCCAGCCAGGGGCCCAGGGCATCTTTGTAATCACCTGCCTGCTAGCAACCCTTCCATTCCCTGTTAATGAATGTTCTCCTATTATAAAAATGTAAGATATTTCTTCTACCATCATCATTGCGGGGTGGTTCTTATTCGGGGAGGTGATTAAGCTGGTGCATGCAAGCCTGCGTGGGGTGCGCCATACGTGCCTGTGAGATCAGTGGAGCAAGAAGCCATGCCCACCTGGGAGGTTCTCAAAGTATTTCTTATGTGATCCTTCATAATTAGGGACCCGACAACACTTTGTAAACCGTGGGGTCCCAAGGTACCCTATTTTTGAGAACCCCGCTGCCTGCGCACTCCGCCTGCCAGGAGCGCGAACTGGTACTGCAAGCAGGCCGATCTCAAGCAGTACGGGCCTCTTTTTTTTGGATGTATTAAGCTGAGCTGGGAGATTGCCATACCTTGCCAACACTGCCAGCGGCCTGGCGCAATGTTGCATGCAAGTGCTGTGATCTGCAACTGACTGAAAGGAGAGTGGCTGTACTCGACGGCGGATTCAGGGGCTGGCAGAAACTCAACTTGCCCGTGCGGTGCCCGACTCTTTCTGGGACGGGTTCTGATCAGACGTATGCTTGCTTCATGGCTGCAGAATTCCTCTGCAAGAAGCCTGTGAATTCTCAAAAGCAGGCTTGACTTTGTCTGGGGCCTTTGGCCAGTCTGGCCAGTCTAGCCAGGGCCATATTTTTAACTTGCTGGGCAGGCAGCGGCCGATGCCTACGCCTTCTCGGTCGGGAGGCGCATGGCAGGCCGCGGACGGAGACGAGGCGTGAGTCCGCGCGTGAAGCTTTCGCAAGCCTGTGTTGGAGGTGCCGGCGGAGCTTGAGTGCCTGTGCTTTGGCGGCGTCGATGGATGGTCCTGCAGAGAAACGAGCTGCTGGACCACTCCTATTAGTTTGATGATTTGTTTCCATTGGGCTTGAGCAGCCACAGGCAAAAAAGTGTGAGATATAGGGGGTATACGGGTAACAAGGGGATGTATCGGGTTTTGTTGTGTTGCATGTCAGTCCGGCTAAGCACATCATGACACATGCAGGCATCGAAAAGATCCAATCCATGCTGCAGATCTTTTTTCAACACGTCGCTAGAGGGGCAACAGCTTCAGAGACAACAGATGATTTATTTGAGCAACGAAGCAAAGACAAGCACCTCAGCATGGATTCGGATACTCGCAGGTAGACCTACACTGCAACTTTCTTAGGTCACCAGAGCTATAGTCTAAACTCCTTCAAGGGGATTATACAGGGGATTATACAGTTGAGTATTATATGGGTTATTGAATAACGGGAATACTAGGAGTTTAGACTGTAGCTCAGATAGCTTTCTAAGATCCACATTTTGGCCTTTCGATTACACTAGCAACAATATAGCTTTCAAAGATCCATATTTTGGCCCTTCAGCGAAGTTTCTGTGATGTTACCCGGGCAATGGCCACTGCCGCGTTGGAGAATGGTTTCCAAGGAGTTCGGAGGGATGTGGGTGGGGTTAGGGTTTAGGATTTAGAGGTCTTGTTTTCATTGGAGTTTGGGGCTCTGTGCGGATGAATATCCAATAGCCACTTCCCATCTTTGCGCGGAGAAGAAATGGCTGTCAGATGAGGGCTAATATCAGAGCCGAGGTAGCATGATAATGTATGATGTAGATCACTACATGAGCTATAGTCTAAACTCCTTGATGGGGGTTATATAGGGGAATATATAGGGGACTACTATGGAGGTTATTAAGGGGGATACTAGGAGTTTAGACAATGGCTCACATATCCACTCCCCAGCCAGAACCTTAATCGGCACCGGTGCCACGCAATCCTGGAAAGAAATCCGACAGCGTAAGCGCGAGTCCTAAAGTCCTGTGCTCAGCAGGGGTAGGTGCTTCTTTTCTAGGGTAACATAGGAGTCAGTCCGCTTTTATACCCCAAAATGTATCATCCTCAGCACAAGCCGGATTTACAGCATCTATCGCATGAGCCGGTAACCCCAAATCCCGGTTCCCATAGATCAACCCTAAACCCTAATTCCTCAACCCTCCGATCTGCTAACCCTGGCGACCCTTACCTAACCATGGGCCCCTAACATAGGCCCCTACCTGTTTCCTAGGTCCTAACTACAGGCCCTAAACTGGACTTGTCAGGATTTATAGGGTATCATATCAGTATATGAACCTCCGTAAAGTGGGTTATATCGGGGATTATATGGGGTACTATTACAGCGGTTATTAAGTGGGATGCTAGGAGTTTAGACTGTAGCTCATATGAGGACCCGAGGATAAAGGGCCCCTGCTAGGCGCGCAGACTTCCGCCTCAGATTGGTTTACCGGTTAAGGGTTTAGGGTATAAATTCTTGAAAGCAGCCCGAACCCAACATCTTTGAATTTTCCTACCCCTATACACCCCAAATCCCTCAACCCGGGACAACACCCTCGAGCCCCAAACACCTGAACAAGTCTCATCCCTAAGCCCTAAACCTTAAGGATTCTGTCCTAACCCTAAACCCTACACCTTAAGGATTCTGTCCTAAACTCTAAACGCTAAACCTTAAGGATTCAGTCCTAAACCCTAAACCCAAAGGATTCAGTCCTAAGCCCTAAACCCTTTAGGTGTTAGGTTCCGAATACCATCGCAGGCCGTGGTCGTAGCCCGCCCAGGGGGCCTGCAAAGGACGTGTCCTGCCTTGTACCTTGGGGTTTGGGATTAGGGTTCAGGTATTAGGGTTTAGGGTTTACGGTTTAAGGTTTAGGGTTTACAGGGTTTAGGGTTCATTTTTGCCCCAAACTTATTGGGAGGTATTGCTGCAAAGCTCCCACGGCTTGGGGGCAGGAAAGACGAACCTGATCTGACACACACCCATGTCTTGGTTACCAAGCGAACCTCCAGTGTGCACAGGCGACCTCAGTAGCTCAATGTGATTCCAGATGTGTTCCCTCATATGTTTTCGTCCCGTTGTTTAATACGAGCTTATGCCTCTTCTGCATGTAATGCTCCAAAGCTTCAACGGCTCTCTGGCATAAAAGGCTGTGGGCGAGTACTAGTCTTTGCATGTTATAGGCTGTAGCTTTTTTCATCTGAACTGTTAACGGGATGCAAAGTCCCTAACATCTTTTAAGATCACATCCTCCTTGGGCATGGTAGTTTGGAATAATGAACCACTAAACAACCTTCCTCAGTTGAACAGTTGTGTTGTTGTGAAACAACGGAATCCGTCTGGAGGAGTGATGCATGTTTTCGGGTTCTGACAGGATTGAGGGCTTAAGGCAACCCTAAACCCTTGGGGCATCTATGGTTTGAGAATTTTCGAGTTGAAGCTGTTTGTGGTTTTGGGTATTGAGGGTCTTAGGTGGCTGCAGAAACTCCCATGCAGAGTACTTCTCGACAAAAACCCCAAACCCTAAACCCTAACCCTGCAACCCGCTTGGCCCCAGGTGGGCAGCCTTCCAAGACCTTGTGGCCTGAGCGATGCGATTTTTGAGGACCAAGGGAGTGGCAGACATAGGGAAGGGACACCATATGAGCTACAGTCTAAACTCCTTAAAGGGGGGTATATATAAGGGATTATATAGCAGACTACTATAGGGGATATTAAGGGGGATACTAGGATTTTAGACTATAGCTCATATCTCCTCCACAGTCACTCTTACAGTAGATGCCTTGGCCAGAACCATGACTGGAGGGTCACAGAAGCAGTGGCAGACTTTGAGTATTTGGACACTATCAAGTTTTGGGTTACTGTCTTTGCGGGATCTGGTGTGCTCGACCCAGTTTGGTTGGAGTTCAGGTCAAGTCATTGCTCTCCCTAAGCCAACATGGAGGACAACGTGACATGAATACTCTTGTCCAAAAGGTCTTAAAATGGGATGTCATCCCTAAGCCCTCAGCCCCTCAACCCAAAGCCCTTAACCGGTTTTGGGAAGGGACCCTAAACCCTAAGCCCTCAAACGTTCTTGGGGAGCGTGGGTTCGATCTACACTCTGGTTTGGGGATTCAGAGTATGCCATGCTGGGTTTTGGATTTAAGCTGGGAGCCTCTAAGGGTTTAGAGTTGTCAGGGTTTAGGAGCTTCTAAGGGTTTAGGATTTACCAATATTTTGACAGCCTACCGTGTAACCCCCACAGAGCCCTGTGAGCATTGCTGTTCTTCAAAAGAGGCACATGTGGGGTTGCATGTCTCGTGTTGGGAGAATGAAGGAAGATGAGATGTTGAACATCTGAGCTGCTGTTGTGAGCGCTTGCCTCTGCGAACGCTAAACCCTAAACACCTGACATACTTTGCCTATAGCCCTATACCCTGGACCCTCAACGCTGTACCTGAAACTAAGATTTCCAAACCCGCAACCTCTCGCAAAATCCCTAAACCCTAATCTCTAAACCCCCCAAAATACATATAAAACAATAGCCCCAAACCCATAATAACAGCCCTAAAGTCCCTAAAGGCCATTATTTTCCAAATTTTTGGAGGTCTAGGTAAACCCTAAACCCCTAAGCCTTTCCTATAGTCCCCCTTAAGTAGATAGAATATGGTTTTGGAGTCTATTATTCATTTTAGATCCCCATATACCCCATATTCTATCTACTTAAGGGGACTATAAACCCAAACATAAAATCCGAGCCAGCTTGAAAACGACGCCTGGAGGATGGTGGTGCACGGTGCGATGGGAGCAAGAGACTCTTGCTTTATCACGTTTCTGGGGGTTTAGGGTTTAGGGCTTAGAGCTTTAGGTTTAGGGTTTCTGGGGGTTTAGGGTTTAGGGCTTAGGGCTTTAGGTTTAGGGGTTTCTGGGGGTTTAGGGTTTAGGGCTTAGGGCTTTAGGTTTAGGGGTTTGGGGTTTAGGGCTTAGAGCTTTAGGTTTAGGGGTTTAGGGTTAGTTTGGGGCGGTCTAGATTGAAGGAGAGACACTTCAAGAGTATCAGGCAGATTTGCTCAGGGGACCCCAGATGGGATAGACCCCATAAAGGGTTTCGGGCTAAGCCCTAAATCCTGTACTCTAAAAGTCCGAGGGGTTGAAAAAAACCTTAAACCCGAAGCCCTAAACCCTGAACCTGGGGCTTAGAGTTTGGTGCTTAGGTGGCTAGCAGGGCACGACGGCGTGACTTTCTCCAGGGTGCTTCCGAGAACAAAGGGTCCCTGTTCAGGGTTCCTGTAATAAGGGCTATAGTATTTGGGGTTTCATGTTGGGGTGCCCCCTACAAGGGGAAAAACGGGGTAAAATGTGGATAATTGAAAAAATGGAAACTACAGGGATCATAGAGGGGTTATATAGGGATATATTGCTGCTGCTACATGGAAACTTGCATATTTCTATGTCTCTACCCCTTGCTGACCACCAGTATGTTGAAGAGACACCTAGAAAAAATGAGGGGTTAGGTGTGGATGATCCAGGGATCAAATGCGCGACTCTTGCACGGACTATATGTGTTTCCCAACGATTTGGCTCCCTATTTGGCGTTCCCTTCTGCGGAGTTCATTGTTTGGCTATGTGATGGACCTCCCCCCAAGGTACTTCACAGCTTGAGGTTTTCAGTGAGATTCGGGTTTACAATGCAACTCTCCAATCAAGTCTGCGTTGGATGGCCAATTGGGCTTGGCCAATGAGGGGACAGACAAGAGTGGGATCCTTTCCTGGTCGTCCGTGTGTGAAGCTACATTC